AAAATACCATATGATCATCTCATTAGTTGCAGAAATTTCTTTAGGCAAAATCCAACATCCCATCATGATGAAAGTCTTAGAGATATCAGGGACACAGTGTCCATATTTAAACTTAATAAAGGCTATATACAGCAAGCTGATTGCAAGCATCAAACTAAATGGACAAAAACTGAAAGCAATTACAATAAAATCAAGGACAAGAGAAGGGTGTTCACTCCCTAAATACCTCTTCAATGTTGTACTTGAAGTTCTAGCTAGAGCAATAAGACAACTAAGGGAGATCAAGGGCATAAAAATCAGCAAGACCAAGTAAAAATATTACTTTCTGCAGATGAGTTGGTAGTTTGTGTATACAACCCTAAAAATTTCACAGAACTCTGACAGCTGATACACAGCTTCAGCAAAGTAGCTCGATACAGGATTAATTAAAAAAAAATAGTAGTCCTCCTGAACACAAGTGAGAAACAAGCTGAGAAAGAAATTAGGAAAACTACACCAACCACAATAGCCACAAATACTATAAAGTTTCTTGGTGTGACTCTAACCAAACCAGTGAAAGACCTGTATGAAAAGATCTTGTCTGAAGAAAGAAACTGAAGAAGATATCAGAGAAGGGAAAGATCTCCCATTCTCCTGGATCTGAAGGATTAACACAGTAAAAATGGCCACCTCACCAAAGGCAATCTACAGATTCAATGAAATCACCATCAAAATCCCATCACAGATCTTTACAGACCTTGAAAGAACAATTCTAAACTTCATATGGAAAACAAAACAAAACAAAACAACAACAACCAAAACCCAGAATAGGTTAAACAATACTATACAGTAAAAGATCCTCTGGAGTTATCTCCATACCGGACTTCAAGCTATGCTACAGAGCAATATTAATAAAAACTTCTTGGTACTGACACAGAGATAGACTGGTCAATCAATGGAATTGAATCAAAGACCCAGAAATAAACCCACATAACTTTGGTCAATTGATTTTTGAAAAAGAAGCCAAAACCACACAATTAAAAAGACAGCATCTTCAATAAATGGTGCTGGTCTAACTGTATCTCTGCATGTAGATCTTAATGCAAATAGCTCATAATTATCTCCCTGCAAAAACCTCAAACCCAAGTAGATCAAAAACCTCAATATAACAGCAGATATACTAAATATGTTAGAAGAGAAAGTGGGGAAGAGCCTTGAATTCATTTGCACAGGAGACAACTTTCTAAACAAAATATCAACTGCTTAGGCTCTAAGATCAACAATTGGTAAATGGGACTTCATGAACCTAAAGGAGTTCAACTAAAGAAGATCAAGGACATACAAATCATCAAGGAAGAAGTCAAAATATTGCTATTTGGGGATTCATAAAGAGTTCATGATATTGGCACTATCATGAAGCAGAATATGCAGGACTACACATATCGTTGGAAAGCATTCTGATGATTTAAATGTTCAATTAGTAAATAATAGCGCAAGATGAAATTTTGATTGTCTTTCTCCCCAGAGATCAGCAGGAGGACATCAACCCTAACCCTAACCCTAACCCTGGCCGAGGTCAAGAGTACCCAAACCCTGAGAGAAAACACTGCCTGCCCATGTCAGTGACTTTTCTGTCAGTTGATGATCCTCTGGGCATGGCTCTTTTATTTATTCATATATTATTCCTATATTAAAATTATAACTAAATCATTTTTCTTTCACTTTCCTCCATTCAAAGTCTCCAGCAAACTTTTTTTTTGTCTTTTAAAAATTCACGGCCAATTTTTCATAAACTGTTTTTACAGAAGTAAGATTTCAAAATTTTGTTTTAATTATACTCTATATATTGTATTATAGTAACAGTAATATATAATATTACCATGAAATTATATCAAGTATATTTATGAGAAACTGTATTAAAGAACAGCAGAAAAAGTATAGAAGTAAAGTACTATTCTTTTTAGTTGTTAAGAGATGGTTATCATCTCAGTAACATCTTCCCACTTGCTGGCAGGGTGAAAATTGAGTTCATGTTCCCAAGCCCCAGAACCAACTCATAACCTTCTTCTTCAGGTGTTTCATGTTTGTCTGTTGTCAGGTAAATAATGTAAAGAGGGAATCTGCTGATCATCTAAACTGATACACACAGGTTGTAAATGTGTTGCTTGTCAGGACTTAAATTAATTATGAGAACCTTTTCCAATCTTTTGTTCCTGTAAGGCCTGGAGGGGATGTGACTGCAAAAGCTGAGTTGAGAACCCAGAAACTGTGTGTCCTGGATAGGGCTCAGTCACCAGTGTTTACTTCCTTGATCAAAGATCTCTGTCAAGGTATGATAGGAAAATGCCACAGCCTTTCTTGCTCCCCATTGATTTGTGTTTCCATCCTATAAAATGCTGTACAATTTCACTTCTGTGTCACAGTTCAGCTCTAAAGTCTGTTCTGAGGCCCTAATTGATCAGTAGTGGCCTGAATGCAGTAAGATTTTTTTCATCTGCTTAAATACTATGAGGACTCGTCAGAGAATCAGTCAGTGCCCACATCTGTGCCTTTATCCAGTCAGTTTTTGGTGCATAATTCAAATAAAGATCATGCTTTCCTGGACTCTTGTGACTTTTTGGATTATTTTGGTGTTTCAAAACACAACATTGGATTTATTAAAAAATGTAATTGTGGAGTGGCTGGTACACGAGTATGCTATTAGCAGAACACAGATTGTGAGTTTAATGCTTGAGTATCTTAATATTATGAATGGGTTACATAGAAAATGATCATGTGTACTTGACTGTAATATCTTTACTCTTTAAAAAATGTTATAATTATTGGTGAAAAGAGAAGACAACAGATAACGGAGTCAAGATAGATACAAGGCTATTGTGCTTTTGAATGGCAGACACAAGAGACTGACACCACCAGTTGCCAATCTTGAAATATTTTAAGTGCAGTTTTGTGGAATAC